CGTGTGCGGCGCCCTGAAATTCATGCGACGCTGCAGCACAGCTCCTTGCTAGCATTGCTTCCAGTAGCAACCCATAGGAGGCGGCAGAGGGTAAAACCAATCCAGGCCCCCGGCGGAGCCCGCTGCTGTGGGCGCCGGAAAAATGGAAGTGCCCTGATCCCCCGCTGCGGGCTTCCTCTGAGGCTCAGGCGAGACCTCCACTTATCCAGACCGGTGGAGCGACTGGCCCCGGCCCCGGCTCAGTCGCAAATCAGGGCCGCTCCGGCGGCAGGTGCTCCTCAGGCACTGGCGACGCTGCCGCTGTCGGGCTGCGCTGTCGCGCCGACAGGAGCAGAGCCTCCGGTTACGTGCATTGCGCCTCGGGGTGCTCCGCGGGGGGAGCAGTCGGGGCATGTGCCGACTCGTTGCAAGTGCAGCGCGGGAGGGCGAGCCCCGCTTGCCCCGCCGCTCCTGCCCGCCTCGGCCCAGCTGCAACGGGCTCCCCCTGTGCGTCGATCGCGTTACAGGCTCCGGGGAACTGAGCGCCTGGCTCAGCGAGCGCACCGTCACGGGTGGCTGGTGGCGGTGCAAGCCACGTGTAGGAGCGGCCATCTAAAAGCAGACGGAGTTTGGATGGCACAGCCGTCTTTGCTCTGGTTCTTGTGCATTTTCAGAGAAAGACTCAGTGTGCATTTTCAGAGAAAGATAACACTGAAGAACGTTTGGCCTGACTTAGCTTGTCTTATGGATTTCAGTGGGTCTATTCCAAGTATGATTCAGTCTGGATCCCGTCTCTTCAGTATACAATAATGTGGTTGTGTATTTCCCCTGCGAGTGCACGGCTCATTAGTGAAAACTGTTTCTCTGCTGCAGAGCCCAGGGAAGTATGTTGGTGCCTGCACCCATCTTGTGGCTGGACCAGGAGTGCCATGTGGGGCATCACCACGGGAGGCGTGTGCTGGTCTTCCTTCCAGCCTGCAGTGTGGCAGACAGTGGTTGTCTCCTAGACACACCGTGTCTAGGAGCACCTGCGGGGCCAAAGGATGGACGACGGCAGCCTGGTCGGCATGATGCGGAGGATTTAAGGTGATGCTTGTGGCGGTGGGGTGGGGGGATGATCCATCCAACTGCAAAGGTGTGCATGTGCATCTTGATTTGGAAGCATGTTTACCCCTCCTGCCCACCTACCCTGCAAAGTTTTCTTAGGGTTTCTGTACATGTGGCTTTCAATCCACCCCTTCTCCAAGGCATCCAGTTTTGGATTCTTCACAGAATGAAGACTGGCTCCTTTACACGTGTTTTTTCAAGGGAGTTTTCATTTTCTTCCTGCCAGAAGGGGTTGCTGCAGTGTGGCAGTGTTGCAAAAACGCACACACTCCTCATGGGGATTCATTCCGTCATTTTCAGCTAATACCTGAAAATTTCCTTGCTCTGCAAATGCCATGGAAATGCTTGGAAGACATGGGAGAGGCCCAGGGGGAGGATGGCATCACGGGATGCTTCTGCAGACTCCTGTGAGTGCTGAATCACAAGCACACAATAACTGCCTTGTGTGAAGAAGCCTCCCAGGCTCCCGTCCCCTCCACCCCAGAAGCTGCTTGTTGCTCTAAGGTGGGAGAACTGGGTCACAAAATTGGCACAAGGCATGGATAATTCCAAACGTCCCTTCGGTTTGGCTCCAGTCTCAATTCCACCTGCTCCCACAGCCGCTTTTGAATCAGTGGAGGATGGCTATAGCCGCCTGAACCTGCACCTAACTTTGACAGGGGGCCATCTGACGGTCCCGAAACTGAAGCCTGGCCTACACCGTATGCAGGGTCCGCGCAAGACCAGTGCCTGCCTAGCAGGGGTATGTGATGCGACTGACAGGCCCACGGTTACTGCCCTTATGACCAATGTGGCAGCTGCCACTGCTGACTGGGAACCGCTTGTGGGAGGGATCCCAGGAGGGACCCTCCCCCTCTTTATGGGAGAGCCAGTGTGGCGTAGTGGTTAAGAGCATGGGGCTGGGACTCAGGCCGTCTGGGGTCTAGTCCCCGCTCAGCCATGGAGCCGACTGGGCAACTTTGGGCCAGTCATTGATTCCCAATCCACCTTACCTCACAGGGCTGTTGTTATGGAGATAGGATTGAGAACAGCAGGAGGAGAAAGTTGTGAGCTGCTTTAAACTCTTTGGAAAAGAGTGGGATATAAATCTAATAAATAAATACATAAATGAGAAGCAGGCAGGCTTCTCCCCACAGGACTTTCTACTATGAACTATGCTGTGGGATGAAACCTAAGGAATTGCAATTTGTAATATCATTTTAGGATGTTCTTTGAAATTAATGTATTGTCTTACTTGTAAACTGTCTTAGAAGGATTTTTATCCTGAAAGGCAAGAAATAATTCCAGTAAAAGGAATGCATAATATGCCAGGGCTGGACCAGCATAATCTGGCTGGCAGTGCTCAGGAATTTAGAGGTCTGACCAGCATGGTTTCCGGGCTGCCCCACCAGCCTTTGCCCTCGGGCAGACTGCCTGCCTGAGGCAAGACTGGCTGGAGCCACAGCAGATTGGACGGGAGGTCTGGGCCACCTGCCTCAACTCCCTGTGCTGCTCCCAGCATGCACAGCTCATGGGCAGGGCTGCCACAATTAAGATGGCGGCTGCTGGAACTGGGCGTGTGGCCTGGAGCTCTGATCAGTGCCAGCACAGCACCATGCCAGGCAGCCCACAAGCAGGTTGCCCACTGCCCCTCCAGAAACAGAAACAAGAAACTGGAGCTGGGCTGGCTCCTGTGCGTGGAAGGTTCCCTCCCACAGGAGCAAGGAAAGGAAGCTCAGCCTCTCCCTGGGTGCTCACCTGCTTTGCCTGCTGCTTTAGTCCTTGGCATTCGCAGGGAGCCCTGGGAAAGACCCCTGCCTGAAAACCCGCTGAGTTGCTCCGAGTTAGTATGGACCAGCCTTCCCCAACTTGGTCACTACCAGAGCTCTGAGACAACAACTTCCAGAACTCCTAACCATGCCCATGTTGACTGGGGCTGATAGAAGTTGAAGTCCAAAACATGTAGAAGACAGCAGGTTGGAGAAAATATACTGAGACTCGTCTACTGTTACCAGTGATCTGGCTTGGTATAGTGTCCTATGTGTCTGATGTGGATATTTTTCCATGCACAGCTCCTTCGGTTGCAAACAGTCCTGCCCTTTTACGAAACGACTTAATGCTCCACCCTGCTAGAAAGGGGAAGGCGTTGCAGATATTGGGGAGCCTTCCCTGCCATTTGGTGGCAGCATCTACTTTCATCACTGGCCCTGCCCTCCTTTTTTAAGGGACCCAAATCGCTTAGAATCATGAAGCTGGAAGGGACCTTAGAGATCATCAGAGCAAGCTCTGGATTGCAAAGTACAGCTATTTTTTTCTTTTAGTTTTGTTTATTACGTTTCGATATCTTCCACGAGCCAAAGCACCCAGCATCCCTGGCAGTTCTCTGCTTCAGTTCCTCCAGTGAAGGAGAACCAGCTCCACTGATGAACAGCTCTCACTGGCCAGAAGTTGCATCTAAGCTTTAACTGAATTCTGCTAAGCGGGACTCTAAGAAAACACATAACTGAACATATAATGGAAAGCAATCTGGCACACATGTTCAAGGTGCAGCACTTCTCTCAAGTTCAAATATGGGGAAAGAACCTGTCTGGAGACCCTCAAGTAGCAAGTGAAAAGAAATGTGAGTACAGCACCTGCCATGGGACCTCTCCCAATATGGCTTCCTGGTTGCACAAAATGTGCCCCAAGGTGACTACGGGGGCGAGCACTGCTCCTTATTGATGCTTCTGCTATACATCTATGCTGCCATCCTATGCACGCATGCATGCGCGCGCGCGCACGGGGAAGCCCTAGAGAACAGCAGAGGGCTTGCCTCGGATGATGTTCAGAAGCATGCCTAGCATGGCGCCGTTTTTATCAGAGCAGCTGACGGCATGAAATACCACCGCGGGAGGTTGGGGACGTTCCCCAGAGCCCCAGGAGGCTGCTTCTGAGTGGATCTGACCGTGGCCAAGGCTGCAGCGACTTCTCAGAGGAGTAAGGTGCCAGGAGAACAGGCTAAACAGAACCAGACTTCCAGGAGCGCATTTCTGCTCGTGCCCATTTTTTCTGGCAAAATGGATAGTTTTTGTGGCTGCAGAACTGATGGGGTAATTAGGCAGTGCAGCTTTTCTCTCTCCCAAACCAAATGCAGCAGTTTGGGCAGTGAGATTTCAGGGGTGGCAGAGGAACATGATGGGAGCTGTAAAAAAAAAAGAACAGCCATTGGGAGTTGCATCCAGTCTGTCTCTTGCTCACCCCCGATCCATCCTGCCTAGTGGCAGCTTTCTAAAATCTCTGGCAGGAGTCCTCCCAAAACCCTTCCAGGAGGTGACCAAGACCTGAACATGGCATCTTTTTCATGTTCTCTACCACTGAACTATTGCACTCTCCTCACTGGGGTGGCCACTGTCCCTCCCATTTCTCCTCTTTTCACAATTCCCGGTAACAAAGACATTTCAGCAAGAAATAACTTCACCCCAGTTATCTTTGGGTCTTCAACACCCATCTGGTCAAAGCGGGAAAGAGCATTGCTAACTGGGTCATGAATAGCCAACCCTGCCATTTTAAATTTGAGGACAGCTGTCGGAAGAAGAGAGAAGCAAAGGATGTTCTCCATGCTTAGATGCATTTGTTTTTACAGTGGCACATAGATGGATAGAAATCCTACAGTTGGTTATGTACTCAGACCTGTCAAAATATCAGGGCTCTGTCTGACTCTACTTGCTGACCCAAATTTATTTTGTTGCAGTTATTTAGGAGTTGACAATCATAAACTGACCCCTAAGGACAGAGGCTAACTGGCATACATGGCAGAGCCCTTGGAAGAAAGGTGCAAGTTCCTCTGACTACTTTAAAATCGTGTTAGCCAAGCTTGTCATATCAGTTCTTCCACATCGCTCTTTTACTCTTTCTGTACCCCTTAATCACAAAGAAATATTCACCACCGCCTGCAGTTCCAAGAAATCATATTTTCTTTATTGTTTTAATTTTTTTGTAACTCAACAAGTTTCCATTTTTTAAATATTTTTAAAATTTTCATTATTATATTTTTTCTGTTTAATGCACTCGACCCAAAATTGGTTTGGCATGTTGAAAGAAAGGGAAGGGAACCCAAAGACAGAGATATGGAAAGGAAAAAAGGCAAAGTGGACAAAAGCAATGGTGTGGAGATAGAAATGGATCAGCACCAACCTGTAGAAGGGGGACATTGCAGGACCAAGGAGGGAGAGAATGAATCGCAAACCTTCCCAGCAGGCCCTCGGCTCTGGGGCACGGGCCTTCATGCTGCCATTCAAAAGGCACAGCTTCACTGGTAAACCTGGAGGGAAATTGAACTGGGAATGACAGTGGAGGCTGGGGGTGGGGGCGGGGGCCGCTTCCAAGAGGCAGTGTGGCTTGGAAAGAAATCCAGCCCTAGGTTCGGTCTGGGGAGTTTGCAGCCATTTCCTGTTCTGCCGCCAAGCATCCCTCCCTCTTTGCATCCATTTCTTCTTCCTTCGCAAACACTTCCCTGCGTCTGCTGGGCCTGGCAGAATAGTTCCCCCATCATCACTGGCACGGTAGAGAAACAGAGTTGGCCCCAGGTGTTGCCAAGTGGCCCTACAGATAATAGTTTAAAATCATTTAATGGCACCACTGCACACAGACGTAAGACAGACAGTCTAGGGCACACTGCCAAGATCTGAACGAGGCGAGGAACTGCTTGTAAAAGGAGCCCCTAAACATCAGCCTTAGCCAACCGGAGAAGTCCCCGTACAAGGTCATGTGAAAATGGACTCCCCTTAAACAGGGAGGCCCCATTGCTTGGAGCACACACCTTGCCTGTGCAGTTTGGGGAGGATGGGTGATTCTCCACTTTTGATAGCTGCTGGTTGATGGTTCAGGCTTTATAGCTGTCCTTTCACAGAGTTTGCAAAAGAACCATCCTTCCTCCTCAGAAATGAGGGTTCTGGAGGCAGCCTGAGAGTTCCTGGCAGAGAATGGAGTGCATTTTACTCCTGCACAAGAGGGGTTAGGGCGTGAGTGCCACTGCTTCCAATAAGTAAGCTCGGAGTGGCTTTTAGAGCAGCAGATTCTGAGTTTAAAGTTGCCCTAGAGGTAGTGCTGTCCTGAACTAGCTTATGCATAAGTGCCCCCCATGGTGGCTTGTAGACAGCCAGTGATACAGAAGACAGGCATGGCCCAGATGGGTCGTGGAGTTGGTGAGGCACAGAGGCCCGTTTCCCCAACCATCTTTAGAAGAATGGGAATCAGGGGCCATATCCTTGTTGGAGATGTTGCTCTATACTTTCCTTGCTATTCTGGCCTGAAGGCTAGAGGGGAGTAAATTTGGGCTAACTCACCCATTTGCTTTCATTGCACCAAGGCAATAATGGTGGATGGCTCTGGACAAGCTAAAAGGAATATTTTGCTTAAGTGAGAGGAACTCATGGGTTTGCATAAGTCTTAGATGAAAGGGGGGAGAAAGAGAGCTGTAGTCCAGAGGTTTCAGCTTCATGGGTTACAAGAAAAAAGGGAGTGCTGGCTTTGCCCAGGATGGCTAGCATTGTAAACCAAGGGGGTGTGAAAACTCCATCTGAGGGCTGAAAGCTCAAGGGACGTCTTCCAGTTCAACCCCATGGATTTTGTTCTATTCTCCCACCACTCAGTCACGCACACATCTGCCTGTCCACTATTTGGCCCCACAAAAGCATATTTTCCTCTCATAAATATCCTCCTCAGCCTCATCCTGGCTGGTTACTGCTTTTAGCCCATGAAAGCCACATTCTGTTTGTCAAACAATTTGCTCAGGGGAGGATAAAATTGACAAATTCTTTGACATGCATGGAATGTGGCTCTGTGGCATTGAAAGGACAAGGATATTTACAAGAGAGAGAGTGTGTGTGTGTGTGTGTGTGTGTGTGTGTTGGGGGGGGTCTTATTTGCACAGGGCAGGTAGAAAAATGTGTGCATCTGTGCAAACTTCAAGATCCTTCCTGAATTTTCACAAATGGCAGAACCTGGAAAAAGGACTATTTCCCTTTGCCCCAGAAACTGAAAAATAAATAAATAACAACAAACCATGACAGCCTGCCTCTGCTTACTGGAATGTAAATGCTGCAGAATCCCATCAGGTTTGAACAGAATGGAATTTCCAGCACTGCTCAGCCCCAGCTTTAGGCAACAGCAGGAAAGGAAGCCTATGCAGATCTCTCCTAGGGAAGCCCTTGCTTGGTCTGGCCATAAAAGTGACTCCCGAGGGTTCACAGTGGACCAGGAATACTTTCTAACTATCCTACTCATGCTATTTTCAGGATTTTTCATTCCTTCTGTGATCCCCAGATTGAGACTTCAGTGATCTAAATTAAATATATGAATATAACACAGATGAACTCTGCACAAAAATACAGCCAGTCCATCAGTCAGCGCAGGCTCGAGGCTAGACACCTCTGCCCCCCCCTCAGAACGGCAATGCCACAGACACTGGAACCAAAACGCCTGGGCTGGCTTAGCAATATCATGTCCCAGGGCCTGCTGCTGGACCAAAGTGGGAGCATCTGTACCATGCGGACTCAAGGAACACCCTCAGGAGCAAACCGTGACCCTGTTTTAAGTTGGACTTCCCCAGCCTGGTGCCCCCAGAGAAGCATTGGACTACAACTCTGATCTCCAGCGGCCATGCTGAATACGGAGGATGTGAGCTGTAGTTCAATACATCCCGTGCAGCATTAGGCTGGGGAAGGCTGCTCTTGCATCCAGCGGTGAACTGGAAGGGTCTGTTAATATCATTGCTGGATATGAACAGAAGTTCTATTCAGCTGTTGAAACTCTAAACCAAGTTAATGGGTAGAAAATGGGCCAGCAAAAGGATCTGGGGGATTGAATGACAAATTCAACAAGATCAGCCTTGCTTTAGCAGTTAAAAAACCAAACCCCAGCAGATTCCATTGAGACTTAAAATAAAACAGAAGCACAATGCCATAAACCAATGATGCATCCATATTTCGAACACAATATGCATTTTCATTCAAAAAATGAGATCGCAGAAAATAAAAGGTTCAAAAAGGGGTAGCTAAAATTACCAGAGAGCTGAAGTGTCTTCCTTACAAAGAAAAAAGAAAAGTGCTGGACTAGGATTAGGGGATAAAGAGGTTTTCTAAACTGATGAACAGTGTATGCAATCAAGAAAAAGTAGCCTTTCAAAATAAATACAACCCAGGCACGGTTTTTAGTTTGTTCTCTTGGTTTTTTGGTAATATGCGTTGTGGGGTGTTCTCTATCCTTCATTCCTCAGGACTGGACTAGGTAAATCCAACCTCTATTGTGAGAACTAGCTGATCGAGGGAAGAAATTGTGGATAAAAGGCTAGGAGAGGAGGGTCCCAGCATCAACACAATATCCTTAGGGAGCTGCTGAGCCTGTTCAATGTGCCAAAAGCTAGTTGAGAGCCCCTGTTCTAATTGCCTGCAATGGCCCCAACATCAGGGGCATTCCGGGAAATTTAAATGGCAGTTCCTTTACCATCAGGACGACTCACAGCTTCCTGGGAGTGTTGCTGCTATTGATGCCAGTGGTGAAGTCTTCAGAGGGGGCACTGATAGGCCACCAGAAGCTGGCCTTGAACAGCCCCTGGAGGGGCATATGTTCCCCGCTGTCTCCTTCACTCCAAACTTTTTGGCTGGCAAGGGTGCTTCTCCACAATGTCATCCTCCGAGACAGGGCTCTCAACAGCCTCACCAGCAGCCTAAATTTGCACTCTGTGTGTGTGTGTGAGGGGGTGCCTAAGCAGCTTTCTCAGATTCAAACGCTAATGCTTTGCACTGAGATAAGTGGTAGCAAAGGAACTGGGCAATGATAAAATGCAAAGGATGCAACTAGCGAGAATCTGCATTTATTTCATACTGATGAAGACCAACACCTATCTCAGCACCTCCAGGCTGGGAGCATCTGGGCTGATTCCAGAAACTAGATGCTAAAAGCTCCTCCCCTCATAGCTGCTACTCTACTAGAGCTGGCCCCCTTCCCCCATCCTTCTCATGCCAGGACAGATCACAGTGTAACATTGATATTCAAATTTGTGGATACCTTCCTCCAAATTAAGTCCAAATCTCAACTGCAGTGTGAACCTCTACTCACAGCTAACCATAAGCTGGAAAGTGCAAAACCTTGAGGCTGTGCTGCTAAATACTCAAACCTCTATAGCGTCATTCGTAGAGGGGGGATGGGGGCAGATATGTCTTTGGTTTTGTTTTTAATATGAGGTTTCCAAATGGAGGTACCTCTTGGTGATAATGCCAAGGAGGTTCCTGAACACAGGGCCTTCCTTGGGCCAATGCAGCAAATGCAAGTGGGGTGAATAAGGCCATCTGGTATTGGGAGAGGATTGATCAGAGCCACAGTTTGGTAATGGGGCAGAGAGAGGAGGGTAGGACCTTGTCTTTACAAGGGTATGGCAGCTACCTAAGAAAGTGAACAAGATCGTTCTGGACCAAGATCAAAAGAGTGGTAGGAAGGAGTCTGGGCAGACGGGTGTTCATCAGGAACCCCACAATATCCTTCCAACTTTCATGGAATGATTACTACAACCAAAGCCCCAAACTCAGTCCCCCATGCCCTTTGAAAGAATGACCCAATTATAAAATGCTGAACACTTTAGAAGTCTCTTGCAGATGTGTGGTGTGGGTTGGATAGAAAAAAAATCTGCATGGAAAACTCTGAGCAATTCTACCAGAAACCATTTGCCCAGATGCTAAAAGTCATTTGCTCAAGCTCTGAGCTCCAGGGCAGTATTAGCTTGTCTTATTCTACAGTCATACAGTGTATTATATTCTACTCCCCTGTTGTTATTGGCTGTGCCCAACTGCTCTTTGGGTTCTTGGCAGAAAAGGACAGATCAAAAGGGAAAATAGTCAACCCTCTCTTTACCAAAAACAATTAAGGGGCATCCCTGGGTGCAGCAAGTATGCAGTATTTAGGGGAAGACACCACGTGAACAGGCCTAGTCCAATGACAACAGAGCAGCTAAAGCAAATTGATCCATCCCAAGGGCATCAGGGTTCGGCTTATCCACTGATGGAAAAGAAGACAGGGGCTCTGTTGCCCCTGCAGAGAGCAAGCTAGAATTGGGTCCTAGGGTTCTTCTTTCCCACCCTTGCACAGCGCAGAGAAGGGAGGGAGCAACCTACTCCAGGGGAAGTGCGCCTCTAAAAATGCCAGTTCATTTTTTTGCTTCTCTTCTCTAGCTGGGAGAGGACAAAAAAAGTAAACAAAACGAAAACAAAACAAGCATTTGGGGCTCCCAATAACAAAACCAGGAAACGTCTGGCCTGAGGGTTTCAAGTAAATACAAACTATGTGGTTGCTTAAAAAACAAACAAACCGAGAACAAAATGAAAGCACACTGTCCCCGCAGAAATTCTTATAAGCAAAGGGTTATTCTGGACCCAGGGGCACTGCAGAATCACCGCATCTTTGGGTCTTGCAATAAGAACGTGTGGTGTTTTTTTCTTCCCCACCCACAATTCCAAATTGGCAGTTAATGAAAAAATAACCAACTTCATGTAGAGATGTATGAAAAAGGTACCTCATCTGGCAGGAAAGGGGAAATGCTTCATTGTCACAGAAATGACGCAGTATATGCTATATATTACATAAAAATTGTGCCAAAATGTTTTTCTTTTTTGATTGTAAAAATCTGCTCTTGCTGGGTCTCCCCGTCGTCTTCGTCAAAGCAGGGATTTTCTTGTCCCTCGCATGCTCCCATTCCACGCATGGGGCCAGAGCAGAGCTGAGTGCCATATATCTATACATATTCTATAGATATAGATATATTTAAAACCCAGATAGAAAAGTTCCTTGGTTTTGTTTTGTTCCTCTTTTTCAAGTGAGTAAATCAATTCTCTTTTCGTTGTTGTTTTTAGGATTTCATATTTACAGCATTTGAACTGGTATCACATCCCCCCTGCCCAACCCGCTTGGACCCCGCCCACCGCCCGCCCCAGAGATATGCTGCCTCCAGGTGAGACTGGCTGCTTCCCCCAGCCCTCTCAGGGTGAGAGCCGGTGAGGAAAGTCGGCGTTGTGCTTGAAGAGGGAGATTTGCTATTTCTTTTTCCTTTGGGGAAAAAAGTGCAGTCTGGGTTAATGTTTTGTTGCTGTTTTTGTTTTGTTTTTTGTCATTTTTCTGAAGGATGGATCCATCTAGTTTGGGGGGAAAAAAGAGTTCAGCACTCCTACTTCTCCCCATATGGTCCCAAATATGTTCTGACGGCAGCCATATTTGCATTGCAGATACTCCTGACATTTGCTTCTTCGTAGGCAGGAATGAAACAGAAGGAAGATTAGCGTATTCTTCTTGCATCTCGGTGAAACGCTGGAGTAGGAGCTCAGCAGGCCATGTGGGGGACTGATGGAGCCAAGTTAGCAGATGACACAGGAAGAAGTGCCCCACTCCATCCTTCCTCCTCTCAGTTTTGTGCGATTTTATTTCAAGCTGGGTGGCCACACCAAAGCAACTATGAGGGGAACAGCCAGCAAATGCAGCCACCAAAAGAAAAGAAAAGAGAACAGAACAGAACAAAACAAAACAAAATCTAAAGGTAGCCACCTCAGTGCTGCTTCCTCCTCCTTCCCCAGAAAGAATGGTGCATATCAAACATTCCTATGCGGGCTTTGGAAAGCAAAGAAACAAAGGAAGCGTTCCTGCTGTCCTGCCAATCTGAAAGAAACAAGGAACTTAAATGCAAACCCTGTTGATAAACTGTGGGCAACCAACAAATACTGGGAGGCAGGTCCTGGGCTTCGCATCACTGGAGCAACTCCTTCCTCCCTCCCCACACATCACACCTTTCTCTCTCACTGATTATTTTTTGGCAACAGTCGCAACTAAGCCCCAACAAGGCCCAAGTGCCATAAAGGCCCTGTTCGTTCCTCAAGATCTGGAAAACAGGCCAAGAAAGTCAGGGGAAGGGGAGGGTGGAGAGCAGGTACTGAGCCAGGGGGCAGGGCATTTCCCCAGGTGCCCCACTTTCTGCATGGGGCACCCTCATGGCTTTGATTTTTTAGTCACATAAAAACCATTATTATTTCAGCTTTTAAACTTTTTGCAATCTGTTGTTCCTCCCCTATTCTCTAGGAGGCATTGTCAAAATAAGTCTGATCCTTTTGCTTAGATACTGCTCTCTTTCCTCCATTGCATTTGCCTGGAATGAAACCGACATAACCAAATTGGCAATGTGTCGTTTTCTGTTTGGAAAACTAACTGGAGGGAAGGAAGGCTGGACAAAATGGCTGCCCACCCCCTGGGAGAAGCCTTCTGCCTCAGCTCTGTCTTCCACTTCCTCACCTCCGTTCCTTCCCCAGCCCTGCTCCATTCTCTTCTTCCCCACCCTTTCCTTCAGGAAAAAATGAAAATGTTCAGGTCACGGCAAGGATGCCGCGTTGGGGCAGGGAGGCATGGTCCCTCAGTCCCTTTTCAGCCCCTCAGAGGCTGGTCACCAGCTGCATTTGGCCATCTCCCTCCACTGCTGGGTTTTCTAAGCTTCCGGGGACCAAGTAGCCATCATTGCTGGGTCTCCGGACTTGGTAGTAGGCCTGGAGCTGGTTGCGTGGCACCAAGGCTGGCCGGTTGGTGTAGTAGATTTCATTGATGGCTTGGGCATGAGGAAGCACTTCCCCAACTGCCTCAGGGCTGCTGTCCGGGTATGGGGAGTCCCTCAGGTTGGTCATACTGGTGTACAAAGAGTCCCTGTTGGGAGAAGGGGCTTGGCCATCACCCCCCTCTGTCAGGTCAGCTGTGCAGCTCTCCGACTCCTCCAGGTCGCTCTGGTAGAGGATGGACTGTGCCCGCTGAAGCAAGAGCGGCTCCTCTAAGGCCTTATACATGAGTTCAATTTCCATGTTCTCCTCATGGGTCAAGGAAGGGGCGTCAGGCACAATGGCATCATCCTCATTGTTGGCACCCCCTCCCCCTGCTACGACATTGGGAGGGGGAGGGGGCCCAGGGGGGTTGGAGGTCTCTGTGGAACCCCCACCTCCCTTGGCCACACCACTGCCTCCCCCCCTCAAGTTGTTATGGACCAGCTCAGAGATGATCATTTTTTCAAAGGCCGCAGCATCACTCAGGTTGCGCCTGCAGTCAGCCATCTTGGTGCCGTCAGCTGGAAAGTCACCACTGCGAAGGGAGTAGCTGTTATTGAAGTTGCCATTGAGCGGGAGGGTGTCCATGCCACAGGCGTCTCGGCTGTTGTTCAGGGGGTGCTCTGTAAGGTGGGGGGATAGATAGGAGGATTAACAGGGGAAGAGAGGAGGGAGGCCGTCAGCAACTGAGGAGATCGGGGAGTGGAAGCCATCGCTCGGAACGGAGACACCCGTGGTCAGCTGGTCTGTCCAAGTGCAATGTATGCAAGACAAAAACACGCCTGAGCAGGATGTAAGATGCATTACACCAGTGCGCAAGAACTTATGGCTGAGCATAAGTGTGCGTGGAAACCATGTGGCAACTGTTACCCAGAAAAAGTACATCAGAAAGGATGGTAGCACTGAACATGGCTGAAAAAGCAAGGAGAGAGAGGTGAATCTGATGCTGGTGTCAAAAGGATAATTTATTAATGCAATGAACAGGACTTCCCATGTAAGTGGCATCAAAAGCCACTCCCACTCTGTTGGAATTCTGTAAGGTCCTCTCTCTCCAGAGGAACCCATTCCAGTGCAAACATAGATGGGATGGAGAGCAGGCTCCGAGCAACCGGCCAGCTCTGCTCCACTGCCTTGCTCTTCACCAGGGTGCAGAAGATGCCAGGGAAAACGTTCAGAGCGCCACCCAGCAGAACGAGTGGGAGGCCAGCCCAACCTAGTTCAGCTGCTTACTGTGTTTGCAGGGAAGTAAAGTAACACGCTCAGGCTGCAGAGAGAGCCCCCACCCCTGTTGCATTCAGGGTCTCCAGTTACCTAACTGAGCGACTTAAAGGAGAAGCCCCTGCTACACAAGGTACCCCCTCCTTGCTCTTGCCAGCTGCACCACACTGAGCTTTCAGGAAAGCATCCAAGTCTTGTTTATTTGGGCAGCAGCTGGTTTTGCATAGCTGGGAAGCGCCTTTGCTCCTGGAACAGACAAAGCTCAGATGTTTTCCCCAAAGCTCAAAGTTATGGCTGCCTTTCTCTCTCTAAGATCAAGCCAGAGTCTACTCCTTTCTAGTGGATTTTAAAATGAGGATAGGAGGAGGACTTTGATACATAAAATAATCATAATGCGTGAATTGGGTCTCAGAGTTCTTACACTACAAGAATAGATTGTCCCTTGAAGAAGCTGCATTTATGTATTGGTATACTTTGCATGATTTTGGCTAAGTTTTTTTAATCCACCCAGCACCAGTTTGCAGTTTCCTTTCTCTTTTTGCTGATTTGAGTGCAAACAAGCACAGGATTCAGCTGCATGTGTGTGATGTATGCGCACAAGAGAGCGGAAGCATTTGTGGGTACAGAGGGAAGGGTGTGCATGTATTAACCGGTTTGTTAGGAGGCGCCAAGGTCCATGTATGCACGTGTGTGTGAAGGTGAGCACGAAATGATCATGGAGACGCAACTGCAGGGCAATGGGAGACGAGGACAGCCAAGTGGGCATGCCTGCTTCAGCCACAAGCACTATGGAACAGGCAGGTCGTGGCTTGGTTAGTGGAACAGCCCTGCGGAAAGGTGACCGCACCACCTGCCTCTGCCCAGAAAGGGAGCCATCTGGGACGCACCTGTCAGGTACAGGGTGGCTAGTTCATCAAGGCAGGGGCATGTGGTAGGCGACAGGGCCCACTGTTTCAGCCCAACATGCAGCGATGGAAAGGGAGGGTATTCCGCAGCTCTGCAGGTGCTTTTGGCGCCATCTAGTGCCCACAGCCAAAACCACATGAACCACGCTGCCTTGCCGCCCATTGAGAAATGGGAGCTGCAGAGGCCAGGAGTTCCCCACCTGCCCCACTCCCACCCTCCCTATAGTGCCCCTGCTGCTGACAGGTGCAGCTGCGCACACCCACCACTTGTTCGTGTCTGTGTTGTGCCCACCCCCAGCCTGCCAGTTAAACTAGCAATGAAAGAAACATTACTGCGAAATGGAACTGGAAAGGAGGGACGTACTGGACTCTCGGAAGCTCCCTGCAGGCAGCACCATTTAGAAGAGGAAGAGAGAAGAGAGAAACAGAGTTACCCATGTGGCCAGGGTCGAAAATGCAGTTGAGAGATGCGGCTTTGGTCCTCCCCGTGGCCACAGTGCGGTAGTGGGGACATGCTTGGCATCTCCTGGTAGGACTGGGGAAAGGCTCTGCCTAAAACCCTCGCGGGTGGCTGCTGAGATCTATGCAAACAACACCAGTCACTGTTGCCAATACGGGGCGAGATGGAACGCTGTGCTAACGCGGCATAAAAGCAACTTCTTATGCACCGGAGGAAGTACGAGGAACGCATTCACAGCCAGGCTGTCTGACTCTTTTCTCCCAGTGCCCCCAGCTTTGAGAAATCACTCTTTAGGAGGTCCTCTGCTGAAATTGCAGGCATTCTTCTCACTTTCTAGCCACTCCTGCACGCACACATTCAGTAAAGCAAACATGTAACGGAGCGCGCACACACGTGCGTGTGTGTGTGGGGGGGTGCACAGTGCGTACGAAACCCTTATCTGATCTGGGCCATCAGCCCAGAAGGGAAAAGAAGACCTGTCCTCCAGGATGGTTGTGGTCTTACCTGGAGAGTTGAAGACAGGAGGTGAGGCAGGGTTGAAGCCCACGGACTCAGCAATGAGTGTGTTGTAGGGACTCGTCCCGCCCCGTGTCTGCAGCACGGGGTTGGTCAGCAGGTGGTTCCCCATTGTACCTGCAAGAGGCAGTATTAGCAAGCGTGACAGCACTGCACAGGTGGAGCAGGACTTGGGCCCCAAGCCTGAGTAGAGGAGGAGGAGGAGGAGGAGCCCTCTTGGGAAATGTCTCCCCAAGTGAGGAGAGTGAGAGTGGCGGTCACCAGAGACAGCTGAGAAGGAGAAAGCTGACCTATTCAGAGAAACCAGTCCATGGTGGGAAGTGCTGGGCAGGGACCTTTCCTACGGGCTTGGGAGGCTGGCATGCATGCGCGGGTCTGTGGCTGCTCCACTAAGGCTGGACCTATGGGATGGCGCAGGGTCTCTTCCCTGGGCTGGCTTCTCATCTCCGCTGTGTGTGCTGGAGCATGTTCCCATCCTGCAGCAGGAGCGGGTGCTGGAAATGCTGGGAAAGCCGCAACTTGCTCACCTCTGTTAAGGGTGGGAGTGCTGTTGAGATCCCCTGCCATGAAGCTGGACTCTGTTTGTTTCCTTACAGTATCATTCCACATTCTCCGGATACGGCTCTGAAAAGAAAGCTCCGCTTGGGTTTCAGAGGGCAACATTTCCCAGCCTTGCCCTGCATAAAGCCCGAGGCCTTTAGAAATCTTTCCCACAGCTCCAAAAACCTCAGTGCTGCAAGGGAGCACCACAGCCCCCATGTTCTGCTGCCCTCATACCTGCGTCCCTGTGTAGTAGCGGTTGTTGCTGCGGATGGCTGAGGTCTTGAGGGAGCCCAGTGTGGCTCCAGGTGGGCTCCGCAGGCAACAGGATGCGTGCCGCAGGCATTTGCTAAATTCCCGGTGAACCTGGTGTGGGTCAGGGAGGAGGATCAAGGGGGAAAGAAGAAATGCACTGACCCAGCTTCATAAGGGCCCTTCACATTCCTTCCACGTACACCACTGCTACTCTCAGCCTTTCATTCACAAACCTCACCTTCATGCAGTACTAGGGCTGCAGTGTTTAATCAATTAATTGGTTAGATCCAATTTCTTTAAATTGAGAGAGGAAAAGGTGCCCTGACTAATAAGGCACATATGTGAGTGCTTATAAAAACTGAAGATGGCAAGTGCAGTTTTTAAAGGAGACATTCCCTCTTTTTTCTCTCATGAAAGGAATGCCTCCTCTCTGATTATGCTTTTTCTCTCTCTCTCTCTCTCACACACACAACTCTTTTAAAAGCAAAGGAAGCACTGTTCTTATTCATATGCAAATGTAATCAATTAATCAATCAGTTCATTAACTAACCACTCTGCCCAGAGGCAGAGCTCAGAAAGGGGCATTGGACATCTGAGCCTAATTGCAAACAGTGTGGAAAGAATCGCGCAAGTTGCCTCTCTGAGGTCAGAAGACTGGCCTCAGTGTGAGGGCAAAGAGGGCATTCCAGTGGGCCGGTGGAGGAGGCTGGAGAGGCTTGCACTGCGTACATGCGAAGCATCCTCCAGCCTCCTTCCTCCTCCTGCGAAGCACTTTGATTCGACGGGTCTTTGCCACTCTGGACTGTGCCCCAAGAGTGCTTTAATCAGGGTCAGGCCGGCCCCATGCCATGCTGTTGACTTTGGGCTCCAAGTCCTTTGCAGCCTGCTCAGAGGCCCCAGGAATTCCAGACACACGATCGAGATTGTCAGCCCTGCCCTCCTGACTTCAGCACAGGCCCTTCTTCTGCACCCGACCGTACTAATTGCTGAGGTCCCTGCTACTCAGAGCCCTAGCCTAGAGAGGCCTTTCAGTTCTGGCCCACGGCTACTCACCTTTTTCTGCAGTGCACAATGAAACACGAAGATGAACATGCCCTGGAAAGCATTGAAGGTGGTGAAGAGATAGGCCATGACGATAGACTCCTTGTTGATGAAGAGGAGGCCGAATGCCCAGGTGAGGCCCAGGAGAAAAAGGAGAGTGATTGCGCCAAGTGCCCAAGACCTGATAGGAAAACACCCATGGGTTCAAGGTGAACTTAATAATACTGGTTCTTCACCTGAGAAACAGCAGGCTCATGTCTCCCTGCTCTTGTGCTATTAGAAATCCCTGTGCAATACCTGGCATAGAAAAAACCAGACAGCAAGGAAGTGGCTTATGAAAGGATGGGGTTTTTGTGTGCTCTTGAGCAAGAGACCCTCCATGGGACCAACCTCACCTCTCCTGGCACTAGCTGCTCTTGCGCCTCTTCTTCAGCATGGCTGCCTGCTTCTATTGCCCCTCCTCCTTAACACTACCGACACCATGGTGAGAGACACCATGAAAGGAAGAGGAACAAGCAGGTTGCGACGGTGCAGAGGAAGTGGATTCCGCAGAGCTCTTTTTGGTGGACCCCTGCTGAAACGGGGGCCCTCAGCAGGTGCCCAACCACATGTGCCCTGTGACACTGTTCCTGCTCACAGCCTCTGGTGAACTGGAGCCATTGACAGGATGAATTACGGCTTCTAATGTAAATTCCATGGCAGAGGAGCACATCTGCGCCAGAGGCCAAGAGGGAATGGAGCTGGAATGGCTTTTCTAGTGCCTTTGTTCTACGACAGTTTGAAGCAGTTTTGGACGGGCTCTGCATTGCCACCAACTGTTCAAGGCCATATTGTCAAGCTGCATGATCTTGCTTCACCGTTTCCATATGTACCCAATGAGGAAAAGCGAACCATGAGGTTGCTTCTTCTCCTGTGCAAATTTTCATGCCTTTCACCTTTCCCCAAATGCTCATGCTGCTTTTATGTTGAGTTGATTCATTGTTTTTTACCTGGCATGCAAACCAACTTACAAAACCAAAACAAACAAAACATCAGTGTGATCTTGTGCAGGTGCTTGAATTACAGGTGCTTAACTTCAGGGTTGTGGAAGTGGGGGGATATATATATTGCCAATTTCCACCAACAGGAGACTAAGGCAAAAGAAAAATGAATTCTGAGACACAGAAATTGGTGTTTTCTGTTTGCTTTTGGGCCTCAGACCTGAAAGGAGTCCAGAATGTGTCCACACCAAAATCTCCATGTCACTCCACAATTTCATCATCTCAGCAGTAAAAGTTAGAGTGGGAAGAGCTGATTAACTATTACTCTTCTTAAACAACTGGTAGCCAGACATCTCTGCAGAGGTACGGCAAGTCACCCAGAGATCTAGCAGTAGTTTCCAATCTACTTTCTGAGCACCCCTGCCTTAGACTCCAATTGACTTCATTGGGATTTAAGTGAAATGTGTCTGGGAGAGTAGCCTAAGACAATTGCATTTAGCCATGACATTCACCAGCATGAAAAGTAACAACAGAATCAATATTTCTTATCTGGTATTGTGCTTCCAGCAGCACAGCCTTGCTACCAGTAGCCCAGGTATTAGGGAGGAGAGGAGAAAGGCAGAAACGGGTGACGGGGGAAAGACGATGGATGAGGATAAGCCTTTGTGCATTATGTTGGTGCCCCCCACAGCCCCTCAATGTGGTGCCCTTCCCCTCTCACTGTGCCAGCATTGGACTCCCTGCTGGAATCCCAGAGACACTGTCGGGGCAAGTAAAGGGGCAGGTGCGAGGAAGAGCTGTCCAGATTTCAGTGCCGGATAAACATGCACTAACAGGATGGGGTCAGGAGGCTTTGCTTAGTGACAGTCCCCCCCGTGCCCCCCACCCGAGTTCTCGGGCTGTCAGCAGTGCCTGACAATGCCGATCCCCAACACTGAGCTGACTGGTGGCAGAGACAGCTGTCCTCTGTCTTTACTTTGCTTCCCAAGAAAGAATATGTGAGCCCTGCCTTTTCCTCCTGTATCAGGACTGCTGCTAAGAACGTAAGAGTGAACTAGATAGAAAAGATGTGGGAATATGGGGACAGAAAGATTGGCAAGGTAGTCAGCCTGTGAAAAGGGAAGCGGGGGGGGGTCTCCCATTATACATTTGCGATGGATATTAGGCGCCATACTATTTGCTACAAGGAACACACAGACAGAAGCATACTGGTGTGTCAGCAATATAACACAGGAATATATTATGCATTGTCCTTAATTCAAAGAATGATTGATTCAAGCTTATAGTACACCAAGACCTGGAAATGCCTTCTCGTTTTTATTCTAGGGATACTCATAACCGCAATTACAGCCCTCTTCAGAAGGAATGCCTGCCTGCTGGACGGCTGGGACCACACTAATGGTTCAGTCAGTTTCTTTCCTGACACGCACGCTGGCTTGACCTGTCCACCCAGTGCCTGTACCTACAGCGCAGGCACAGCTGCAGCCGAGGTATGTTTATGTGTGTGACTATTGTAAGGCGGGGTAATTCGACTGGCCCCATTCCCTCCACAAGTGTGGATCCAAGGTGCCAGCATTTTTTCTGAAAAGGGCCCCTGCCTTCATTTAATGTCGCCACTCTTAAAAAACATAAAGAAAATGGGGGAGGGGATGCACACAGTGCAAAAGAAGGCAGACAATTTTCAAGGCATTGAACAGGAAAACATAAGAGAAAGGGAGGGAAAGAAATATTACTAGGGCTCACAAAACAGCAGGGTACTGATAGAGTGGGGAGGGGAAAGCTTCCTGGTATTTAGCACTTTTTTTAAAAAAGAGGTTTATAAACATTTCCACACTTGAGTGGAATAACAAGTAAGTGCTCAGACTAAAATGAAAGAAATCTCCCGGAATAAAATGGCAGGACCACACAAGCGCCACGCAGTAGGAGCGAGATCACAGGCACTCCCCAAATGGTGCCCATGAGGCTCCTGCAGAAATTCCTTCTGAGTAAACATGGCTAGGACAAGTATCCTTCCGCTGCCATGGGACAGCTTAAGTCAGGTCTCCTGACAATCATCGTTGACAGGAAGGTAATAAATATTAGAAGTGCTCTACTGATATTTATAGCATATTGATGTAACATGTTGATGTGTTCATTCTGACTTGGGAATTTGATGAACAGCTGTACTGACAGCTAAAATAAACAATCACGAATGCAGAAAGCAGGTTGACAAAGCACATCAAGAATGAAGAAATTTACTGGAACATTCCAGTAAATTAGTTAAGAAAAGAAGGATTAAACAAGCATGTAAGGGGTGAGCTAATAAATGAAAACCATTGTTATATTTTTGGTAACAGTGTTAGCAAAAAACTACTCTGTCAATTAAGGTTGCAATCCTAAAAGTAGTTAATCTGGGAAAAAATCCTGTTTAAATGAATGAGGCCTATGCCACGTGTATGTGGTTGGCCTGTAAAGAATAAGATCAAAATAAACTTTGTGAGAGATTATCTGCAAATTAAGGTTTTACTAGCCAGGACGTGGATTTCTGTGACCGGAACCCCTGAAGCCTTATTCTGCAAAGAACACCGTGTTGTGTATGGCTTGGGGCAAGGTCACCGCATAGGCAAGCCTGCCATAGGCATTGTCCCAGCACTGGCTCCATGAGTCTCATATCTCAACCAACATTCCCTGGGTTAGCTGTGAATCAAATTAGAACTTTTCAGCTCTCTCCTTACTGGACTCCTCTGAACCCATGGGAGACTGAGCTGCTTCTCCTGCCCATACTTCCCAGCACCTGCTCCAGCTTGTTTTAAGCGCTATTCTAGCTTGGTAAGAAAAAGTAAAGGTTGTTTATATAGCTATTAGCATTTGCTGAACTCTGCATTTCTCAGCTTCATCAACGTTAAGCTAAAGGTGTTTTTATCTTAAGTCAGCATTAACCAAGGTGTGCCCTCCCACCTCTGGATTACTCTATAAATGCATGTAAGGAGATGTGAACCTGGGAGTGACACATGGCTTTTGATTGTCTGGTATCTGAAGGCCCCTTCCAATAAGCAGAACCCTTTCCAGATTCTTGCAGAGGGGCACAACTCTGACCGCCCACCTGAGCTGATTCAAACAAAGTGTCATTATTCTTACCTAACTGAAAAAATATGTCTAACTGTATTAATCTGAGAAGGGAGGGATTCCTGTAATGTGGTTAAGGATTTGTTCTCCTGTATAGGAGAATGAAAGCTGGTTTCACTGGAGCCTTTACAGTGTTACAGCTTGAAAATAACCCTAAATCGTTATTATGATATATCTTCAACAGCTGACCAGCAGCCCCAGATCTTCGGTGGTCTAATCAGACAAAAGCTTCATGATGTTACCCAGTGTAACTGAGCATGCTGGAGGGACCACATCAGCCCTGGACACCACTCCGTGAACTCATACTTTTTACACTCAGTTCTGGGCCAGAAGCAAGAAGTTGCCACCACTGGTAGATGAGGAGCCCCTGTCCTGGGGGCTGAGAAATGAGCCTGCCCTTTTCCACACTCTGGAATGCACTGGCTTTGTCCCAACAAACTGTGCAAAAAGAACCAAAGGCAGAAGAGGGATAGAGAGCAACGGAAGTGCTTTTACATGAGTTTGAGGCAGGGAGATGTTGGGATGTAGACCAGAGTATCAAGAGGAATCAAAACATAAACTCACTTGATGTTGTCCAGTCGGCTGGAATCAGGCTTCAGGACAGAGGTGTTGCGGATCATCTTATGGAGAGTGATCATGAGGAATACCAGGTTGATCTGGGGGATGTGCACAGCCGAATGTGAGCAGAAGAAAGGGGATCCTTTGCCCCATGGCAGCTCCCTTTCCCTGCTTGTGTCTTTCCCAGAGCCATGCTGGGCTTGGCAGGGACCCCAAGAGGAGGGATGAGCACCATAATTTGCTTGGCACTCTTCTAAGCTCTTAGAAGCAAAGGAAGGTTTGAAGGGTTGGAAAGCGTAAGAGCAAGGATGTGGGTGCTCTGCCCACCTGTGTCTCTGATTTGGCGGCTGTTGAGGGAAATCCCTGTGTGTCTGTTCCCAAACAATCCCCAGTGACTGTTGGGAATGAACGAGGCAGTTGTTCCTGTGCGCATTTCAAGGGCAGGGGGACTTGGGAGTCTTTGGTGGTGTGTGTGGCGGGGGGGGGGGGGGGCCCTGGGAAATGGGGCCTCCAGATTTTGAGATGGAAGAGGCAGGAGGGTTTATCTCAAAGCCGTCTTCTCTTCAGGCAGATATTGGGAATAGCCACAGTCTCTAATGGCTGAGAGGGGGTGTGGAAGAGGAGCCAGATGAGCCTGGTACAATTGACCCCATGGCATGGCATCAGGAGAGAAGGGCTAGCCAACTAGAGGGCGGCATACAGCCAAGAGCTGGCCCTTCTCCAGAGGGTTCTCAGGGTTAGTTTCTAGTGTTGGTTCAAAAACTGCTCTGTGCATGCTCAGAAACTCCTTCTCTGCTGATTATGTTTGGCTGGATGTACAATGGAGAATAATGAGCTTTTGCCAAGGAACAGTTTGTTGGTTTGAAAGGGGGGAGGGGGAAACCTGGTTTCTGACAGCAGCTGACTCACCACAATGACAAAAGATACAGGTCCAATGAAACTCCAGATGAAGTAGTTATCTACTCGAAGCCAGCATCTACCAAGACAGAAGGTGTCCAATCAAGGCAGAAAGGGCAGCAGGCAAACAAGGTTTGCTTGCTTCCCAGTTTGTTGGCATGCAATGATACTCCCATAATTTCTCTCTCAGACCTGCACTCTCAGATTCTTCCTCCCCGCCTTCCCTCATGGACCCCTACCCCTGCCACATTCCCCATCTTTCGGTGCAACATACCTAATTTCTAACAGAAAGAGAGAGATGCACTTGCTTGCCTCTGAATTCCTGCAGCCAGGTCCTTCATCTTTCATTTCTATTACTGCCACCCATCCTCCTTCACCTCCCACTCTCTGTACTCACGCTTTGTCAGTGCCATAGCTGCGGTAGTCGATGGCGGCAGCAATGCCCACAACCAGGGCAGGGAAGCAATAGCCACCCAAGTAGTAGTACTTCTTGCGGGAGTATTCGCTCTCAAAGACCTCGACTAGCATGAGGTAAAGGTGGATGGCCTCCAGGCACATCCAGGAGAACGCTGCCAGGAAGAAATAGTGCAGCAGGCCTGCAAAGATGGGGCAGGCAATCTGGAATGGAAAGTGTGAGAGGGAAGATTCCCATGAGCAGAACCCCTCTTTTTGGAAATTGCATATTTAAAATATTTCTGCCCTCTCTTTCTGCCTGAGAGCAGGTCTCCAGTGAAAACAAATACAGCACATAGGAAACCGTACTAAAAGGATAAGACGACAACAGCAGTGGTGGCTTGAAAAAGTGCTGCCCTTTAAACATTCTGCACTGACTATCTATCCATCCATCCATCCATCCATCCATATATCTATAGCTTTTATATACCATCCAGCTACTAGCATCTCAGGACGGTATATGCAGGACAATAGCCCCACATCACCAGTACATGAAGTTCATCCCTGGGTTTCTTAGACAGATGGAGAGAGCCTGTGGTTCCTGGCTGGAGTGTTGGATTGCAGCTTCCAGCATCTGCCAGCCAGCCTGGCCATGGCCTGAGCTGCTGCTACACTGGATATGGGACAACTGTTTAGATAAGGGTGCCTTCCTCCAGACTGACATTTTGGGGAGAGGCAATAAAAGAGAAAAGTGGAACTCTGCTTCCATCCTATAAGTGTAAGGTAGGATAGGTGACTTCTTCACCTGCTTGAGCTAAGTAAAACCTGAAGAGGTAACATCTGGAAATCTATATCTGCTGCCTAACGTTCCTTGAGTATGATAGCCAGGCCTCGGTGGGATTGTATCCCCAGGAAACTGGCCTCACTCAGGGTGGCTTGCTGCTGTTGCAGTGCTTAGCAAGCCCACGAGCCCATTGGTCCCTGTGAGATCTCCATGTGGCCCCCGGTGAGTCTCCCAAGTCCCTCCATGTGGAAGAACATCCCATGACAACTTTGCCTTACTTGGGAGGGGACTGTCACGCACCTCATATTGTGTCTTATCAATGCCGATGAGAAAGAGGAGCTCAGTGATGAAGAGATTGATGCAGAGGTTCTTGTGGATGGTGTTGCGGTCGGTCTGCAGCCCACGCAGAAAGCAGAAGGTGGAGATGCAAATGGCCAAGCAAACCAGGGAAATCACAATGCCCACCCATGTGATGACCGACAGCAGCAGCTCATTGATGCGGCCCTGGTACTGAAAGGAGAAGGAGAATGAGGCTGGGCAGACACAGCTTCCCTCTCCTGCAGTGCACCCTCCCCACCACTGAATTCAATACCCTTGGCACTAATTTACTGTCCTCACCTACTAGATGATCTCCACTGGATAAGCTGCCTAAATAAGGACTGAGCGAATCCTTATTGGCAACAGGAAAGGACTAACACCCAACATTTCATGTCAGGGCAACTGCTGCCCTGATTTGGGATCTAAATAAACAAGCACAAAGGCTCAGAGTGCATAATGAGCTGGAAGGATGGCAGAAACCCATTTACCTCCCCCTCCCAGCCTGGCACATCCCCATCTCCTCCCCGCTCCCACTATCCACAGGAGTGATATTCTTACAATTTCACGATGGGCCATGAGCACAGCAAAGTTGGTGAGATGGCTGCATGCGCAGGTGGTGTGGGTCTTGTTGGTCTCCACCAGCCGGCAACCCTGTGTGGACCAGTAACCCATCATGGAGCGCTCTGAGTAGTTCCAGAAGGAGCAATTGGCATTGAAGTGGTTCTTGTCCTGCATGGAAAGAAGTGTGCCTGTAGGAGTCATCAATAAAGTGAGGGGCGAAGCCAGGGCAGTATTGGGACATGAAGCTCAGAGGAGAGGGAACACAGAAAGGAGATTTCATACAGAAAAAAGGGAATGAACTGATGCACAATCAATTCAGAGGTGCTTAGAACATCCATGGCAACACAAAATCCCCAATGCACGATGTAAGCAAAGACGGAATGCAGATCCCCACATACCAGAGTTTGTATGTGGGGGGTAGCACAGAAGGGGAAAAGGGTACCTTCACCTCAGGTGTCATACTAGCCTCACCTCCAAGTGGGAAAGGGTGAAGATGACCGGATCCATGAGGAAGACACGGCTAGATTCCTTGTTGATGGAGGCAGCGATAACTTGTGAGTTGACAACAAGTGAGGGGCTAAGTGGGCCAACCTCACTACCCAGCTTGATTGTGGCATTCTCCGTTGAAAGGAAAAATCCCAGATTGTTGTAGAGGATGAAGACAACCTTGACCACCCCTGAAGAAAGAAGAAGGGAGAAAGGGAATCCGGGCCTTATCACTGAGGCACCAGCAGAGAGCAAAGGCAACCAAGGGAGCAGTATAGGTAAATACAATTCCCAACACACTTCAGGAAACTCTTCACCAAGCTGCTGAGGGGCTCTTCCCTCCTCAGTGCTGGAATCTTACCATTCCGACTGTTTTGCTTGATGGTATTGGCTGACAGCTGGATAGAGTTTCTGGTGGTATACTCATGCGGAAACACAATGTCTGGCACCTGACCTTCTGTGTTCAACACTGACACCTCTAGCACTGCAATGAGAGGTAGGAGTGAGATGAGTAAAAGCAGTAACCATAGACACAACAGGATCCTGGACAGTTTTTAACATTTCCTTTTTAGCTGAAAATAAACTGGCTTCGTAATAGGCACAGCATGTAACTTTCACACGTTACCTCATCTTTGGAATACCAGAGCAGAAGCGGGGTGACTCTTTCAGGCTCTCTTTCAATGTGCTAATTATATGTTCCGGCCTCCATCTTTACTTTGCCACTGCTAACACTATATTCGGTGATAGTCTGTTTTGTTTCTCACATATTGCTATGGTGAAGTAGTGTGCTAAATGCAAAAATTCTGTGCCAGCATCTGTACCACTCCCACTTACTTTGATTTTTTCTTCCACTCATTTACGGATTGCTGTTTTCATTCTTTATCTAAATAGTGAGAGCTATTTTGGAATTTTACTGCTTGTTCTGCAGCTCTGGTGTCATTTAATCCAAGCAGCAATGAAATACAGGAGAGGACTAGCAGAAAATTTATTTTAATACCTTTTTTTCTCTAGAACACTGGGTTAAGTTTCGTTCTGGAAACAAAAGTAAGTTTTCCGTGAACTGCTGGGGAAAGGTATCCATGTATAGTTCTGCTTACTAGAGTTTTCTATACACAAGGAGATTGGGTCATAAAATCATCATTGTCTGCATTCTCTTACAGTGCTGGCCAAGACAGTAATGCTTTGGTAGGTCGCTCCCATGAAATAAAATGATGCTGTTGAAAGGTTTGACAATAATTTAACTAATGGATTCTATCTCATTAGTGGTTAGCCAATGCTTGGGGTGTGAGAGGGTGTCTCCACCTTCAGTAGGGCTGGCCAGTAGGGCTCAGCCAGTTTTACTGTCTTTGCCTCAGTCTCACTTTCTACTATAACCAGTTCCTTCTACTTGTATAAGAGCCAAACAATTTTCCATGAACATCAACAGATATGAATGTGCATTCTTAAGCAATGGAGTACCTGTCAGTACTCCGGATGCCAGTACATGTATGTCCCCAAAGAAAAGCTACGCTGCAAAGCTAGCGGGCCCCTCACAGGACAGGTGAAAGTTCACAGAGAGAAGAATGTTTCTGGTTGGCAGGAGGGCACCAGCTCTCCTGCTCCTACCATTTGCACTCCTTCCCATCAGCTCTAGCATGATTCCAGCCCTCTCTTTCCCTCCCTGTGTCTTCTCTGTCCTTCTTCACTTGCTTCAGGAGTTCGTATCATGCTTCTCCATCTGCTGCCCAGGAGAAGACCCTCTGATATCGCACCAGCTATGTAGACCATCTGGTTTAATTTCTCCATGGCAACACCATCTAGCTGGGGTGGTGGCTTTTGGCACCTTTCACCATCTTGAAGCTTTTGTTAGCTGTAGCAGCAGAGCGATAAGTATGTGGTGTTGTCCAGGTGTGGTGAGTAGGCAAGAGAGGAAGACACTACATACTTCACCTTCCCATTCTCACCCAGGAGCAGGTTACTAGGCATTCTGAATGCAACAGGACTTTTTAATTCCAAGATGTTTTTCTCTACTCTAAGCTGCTACGCGGATTGAACTGGAAAGGATATGAATCTTTACATTGCTTCCTTCCCAGAAGGATTCCCAGAGTCCTTCTCAGAACCTAAGTTACATGCCTAAGTCACATAGAAGCAGAGGCAGGCAACAAATTGTCCCACTCTAATAGGCAATAGAACAGGGACAGAATCTTGCGTGCTCACACATTGCATTTTCATGCGCACATGCACACATGCACGCACGCAGACACACCTTCCCCCCAACTCAGTGGGGAGAGCATTTTGCACTTCCTCCCTGGAGAAAAGCAATTTAAAATGGTGTAAACAATGCACTGTTCCCTGGTTATACAGTACTCCAGAATGTGATTGTTCTATGAAAGAGAGCACACGGAACATTCTTCTTCCAGCCTTCTTCCTGTGTGCAGCCGTGCTCATGACAACCCAGGGACAATTTACAGTGAGCAGTAGAATCAGTGGGTACCTGCAGTGGACCATATAGGAGACTTCCAAGGGTCATGTACAGTCCATGAACTGCCATCTTGAAGTAGTAGAAGACAAAGAGATGGCATTCAAAGAGAAAGGTGGCTTTGATATATAATGATTGCCATTTCTATCCCTCTTGTAAATGTAAAAAGTGCTTTGCAATTTTCAAGTTTATCATCACAACAACTTATTTAATTAAGCTGGCTGAGACTGATGACCAGGTCAGCTTTGTGGCAAAGAACACACATGCCAAATGCATACATTCCTCTTTTGCTCTTCTGCCTTAATCACACTGACTGTTGACAGGCTTCTGCAAGTAAAGGCACATGGTGAACTGTACACCTGTGAACTTAGTATATGGAATGGCGCACAAGAAGAGTGCATGCAGTTTCCTGAATGGAAGCAATACACAAAGAGGAAAATTGTCTGTCCAATGCACCAAGCAACACATGAAAAGCTCACTTTTCCATGGAAGCTGCAGACATATTGTAAATAACTAACCTAGGAGGTATAATTCAAGGAAGGAAATGACTAACAGCACTTTTCCCTTTCCTACTTTACAGCCTGCATTTACTGTGTCCCCCTCCCTTCACATAGAGAGCTTTGGCCCTGTGCATGGCACATCCACATTCCAATACCTCCTTTCAGAGAAATGCTGGTTTTTGCTTGGGATGCTGCGTAGGGGAAGCTCTGCAGCTCAGTTCCCCTGCTCCCTGTTTTGTTCTTGAACAGGACAGGAGGCAGGCATCTTTGACTTACCCACATTATTCTTAGCTGTGATAAAACGGGCTGGCTCTTTGACGTTGTCAGCCAGCAGGAAGGCACCCTCCTCCAAGATGTCAAGCAGCATTGTGGCTGTGTGCACCTGCTCTGTGGCATTCATGTCTTTCCACGACTCCAGTGCCTCAGGTCGCAGCAGGTTGTCCACTGTCTCCACCACAGCCTGGAATTACATGTAGCTGTGAGGATATGGAAGCACCCCACTGCCCCCCCACTCTTTTGTGCCCTGGAAGGCACAGAGGCCACATCCCCCTCACCAAAGCCCCCAACCTGGCCCTCTGGGGTTCTCCAAAAGAACATTCATTTTCCCTGCAACCACTCCCTTTCCCTCCAGATACAAATCTTCAGCTGGCTTCTGGGGTTTTGCAGAATCTTCTCCACCCCACCCCAGTTCTAAAAGATGAAATGGCTATCCTTAGACTAAGTTACTGGCAGTAAGCACATTAAGGTAGAATATGCTGTTATTTTTAGTATTTCTAGAATTTTAGTCCCAGCCCTTTTGCCTTGGCTCTACTCACCTCTAGACAGCAGTTTCCAAAAATGTCTCTAAAATTAAATTTGGCCCATGGACCTTTAACATAATGTAGTACAGAATCCAGCCTGTACTATACTGAGGCTGGATTCAGGCAATGCAACAGACCATGGTGTTTTTGGTTTTACCACTGTTGCTTTGCCACATTGTCTGAACCCAGTTATGGTATCTTACCATGATTGAGAAATAATGGTTTGTTCTATAGTTTCTCTGTACCATTATGGCTTGTTGTGTTATCTGAATCCAGGATTATGGTTTCCATGGTTCCAGCATGTAATTACCACAGAATCTTCTGGAAAGAGTGGCAATTTCAGGTGCTGCTCCAGCCATCTGGCCTCTATGTATGGACCAATGAGGAAGGGGCAAGTGACACAGCCAGGGAGTGATGCACCTTGGGATTGAATTTCAGGCTCAGTGGCTGAATAGTTTCACTGTGTCAACAGTGGGAACCCTGAGCAGGGAGCAGGGAGGATGGAAACCATGATTACGTAGTCCATCAGGTAGATCACAGTAAAAAACAAAAAACAAAAACCTGCAACCAGAGTTGCCTTTTGTGTGGTGTGAACACAGCCTAGGTCAGCTAGGAATCAATCTTCTATACTACAACCTCCTCTCAAGGAAAAAAGACATTAATATATACTGTTGTGTGTGTGTGTGAGAGAGAGAGAGAGAGGAGGAGGAAGAGGAGGAGATCATGCATAATCCACAATTTCATTATGCCCTTACCCCACTTTTTCTTCTTCTTTATTTAGATAACTAAACAGGAAGCCCAACCTATCTGCAGACATTCTCCCTCCTCAAGTTAGAAAATAGGCATAGCAGCT